AACTTCTTGCAAGCTTGATAGCATTATAAAACTAGTTAAAAAACTCATTAATAATTCATGAAGAAAACACAAAGAAAAATCATAAGCGTGTCGTATCTGTATATGTGATACAGATTCATGTTGATTTACATAAACTTTAACTTTGATTTTCTCGGCCTAGACAACGTTTATTTTTAAAATTACTTCGCCAATGAACTCATGAGATGAGTCATCGCGTCCGTGTTGTATCGGATATACAAACTCTCGCCTTCGGCTCGAGTTTGTATATCCGATACAACACGGCCGCTCATGTTGTAAACATTACTTACAAGATTGTTCTAACAAGTTTGATACAGTCATGATATAACAAGAATGTTGTTACAAGGTAAACGACACAAGGTTGTACCAATATTGTTATATCATGACTGTATCGGACGTGTTGGAACAACCTTGCAACAAGCTTGCTAATATCAACAAGGTTGTTACAAGTTCTTAAAAAGTTGTTTCACACTTGTTGACAACTTGGGACAAGCAGTGCGAATACAACTTGTTGACGGCTTGTTGGTAGACTAATTACAAGATGTGAGATTTTTATACATGTGGTTGAGTGACCAAAAACTATATAAGTGTCTGAACAGAGTATTGTTGTTTCACTAGCTAGTACGTACTACGTAGTACTGTACAGCACAGTTTCAATTTCGTCCGCGTAGTGTAATTGTAGTGTAATCATAAATGAATTAAGACTTTATTTGAAACAAAATACAGTACCTTCTAAAATATCATCAGGCAAAGCTAGAGAAAAGAAAATATCAGGCATTGTATGTTTAAGTAACGATAAATGTTCTCAACACTAAAGAGATAAACTTATTAGAGAAGTGTTTGTATTAAAGATGATTCCCTATTAGAGAGGTGTCCGTATTAGAGAGAGGTCTTTATTAAAGAGGCGGCCGTATTAGAGAGGTGCCCATATTAGAGAGGTGCCCGTATTAGAGAGATGTCCATATCAGAGAGGAGTCGGTATTAGCTAACTGTGGTATTAGAGAGGTATCAGTATAGACCCATTGCACTGACGTCACAAATTCTTAGAGTGTCCTCCAGATGCTCCCTAACAGTATCTGTTCGGGTACAAGTACTCGTATTAGAGAGTACTCGAATTAGAGAGGACTCTGTATGGAGAAGTGTCGGTTTAGAGAGGTGTCCATATCAGAGAAGACTCCGTATGGAGAGGTGTTCATATCAGAGAGAACTCTATATGGAGAGGTGTCCGTATTAGAGAGGTGTCCATATCAGATAGAACTCCGTATGGAGAGGTGTCCTTATTAAAGAGGTGTCAATATCAGAGAGGACTCTGTATGGAGAGGTGTCGGTATTAGAGAGGTGTCCGTATTAGAGAGGTGTCGGTATTAGAGAGGCGTGAGTATTAGACAGGTGTGCGTATTAGAGAGGTGTCCATATCAGGAGGTGTCCATATCAGAGAGGAGTCCGTATTAGGGAGGTATCGGGATTAGGGAAGTGTCAGTATTAGAAAGGTGTCCCGTATTAGAGATGCGTCAGCATTAGAAATGTGGGTGTATTAGAGAGGTGTCCGTATTAGAGAGGTGTCGCTATTAGAGAGGTGTCCATATCAGAGAGGAGTCCGTATTAGGGAGGTATCAGTATTAGGGAAGTGTCTGTATTAGAGAGGTGTCAGTATTAGAGAGATGTCGGTATCAGTATTAGAGAGGTGTCCATAATAGAGAGGTGTCCATATCAGAGAGGTGTCCGTATGGAGAGGTGTCGGTATTAGAGAGGTATCCGTATTAGAGAGATGTCTGTATTAAAGAGGTATCAGTATTAGGGAAGTGTCAATGTTAGAGAGGTGTCTGTACTAAAGCAGCACCAGTAAAAAACAACTGCGACAACAGCAACAAAACCGGGGCAACAACAACAACAACAACAACAACAACAACAACAACAACAACAACAACAACAACAACAACAACAACAACAACAACAACAACAACAAGTTCCTAAATCTCAAATTAGGGTGCCATTTTTGCAAGGTAATTCTAGTCTTACCTGGATTAGCCATAATTTGATCAGCTGCACGAGCCACATTTGCTTCTCGCAAACCTTTACGTGAATCATGAAAAAAAGAAACTGTATATGTAAACGTCCGTCATTTGTCGCGATGTAACAGTTTGCTCATTGCGTTGCCTGCAACATCTAACCCAATTTCCGACAGAGAGCCTCGCTGAAGTACAGGGTGTATAAGAACAGGGTAGCCAATTTTGACCGTTTATCGTGTGTTAATTATTAGGTATATAGGTTTTCTGTTTTCGTATCTATAAAGATTATGGAATCATTGCGATAAAAAATAAGAAAATACGATCAAATTTAAAGTGGTCGGTTCAAATCGTATTTTTTTCACATTAGGATTCAAATGTTCTTCCAATTTTCGAACACTTGGCCAAAAGCGTGTTGCCCAATTGGGAAACGTATGCCATTGCGTGTTCAGTCTGCTAACTTCCAGTCTTGTAAAATGCTTTAATCACTCAATCAATTTCGACGCAAAATTGATAATGGAAATTTACCAAAACTTGATGGTCACACATGCGCGTGGCGCCGTCTTTATACGAGCACTTAAAATTTGAATCCCAAATGAAAAAAATTTCAACACTCAGGCAATAACATTATACATGCAATTACCAACGGTGGGAAAATGCGATTTCCAGCGGCATTTTTAAATGGGAGCGTATCATTCGACAGCTAAAAGCGTGATCTTAACTGGTACGAAAAAAGTAAATGGATAAACGTAGTATTTTGTACACCCAGGTCCCCTGTATACTCGTTCGTAGCAACAAGATTTAATTTCGGACATGTTTTTGCTCGCCACTCTAGTTCAGGCAGAAGAATCTGAATTGCATTTACCACCCAATGCTACGACACTTCGATCTCATGTCTTCATCAGGTGTGATTTAAAGTCTCAACTCATTATGTCCCAAAGGAATGACATCATCCGCCAACGATTGCAAAAACAATAATCGTCTGATGTAATATGTACTGCAGGTATATATGGCATACGTTGGACTTCAGAATTTGGGGACGTTGATTCATTGAATTTGAATTGTAATACCTACTCTATTCACAAGGTAGTATTTTACTTCGGATAGTAACTGTCACCAACACACTAATTCAGATACATTACCTTCTACAAGCTGATTGTATTCCTCTCTTAATCTTTCCGTGTCCGATATTTTTAGGCTAAAAAATACCATTAATAACTTCTCTGTTAATGTGTTTTACATTTGAGTTTTTTCAAATTGCGATTAATGATCTAATCCACTTACTCATTGATGGTTTGTGAAAGTGACTCCACATTACTGTGTGCTCTTTCTAGTGTTCTTCTCGTAATATTTACACTCATTGATTCTATACAAACATTATCTGCAACAAATTTAACGAACAGATTATAATTTTTTTTTTAATTGGAGGTGATGGTTTCACAAACTTAGTTCACAATCATTTGAAATCGAATAAAAAGTTACAGCATTATGGTTGGACTTGGTTCAAGTCCGTCTCAGGACAAAAGTAGGGAGAGACGGACATTTGCAGCATTTCGAATGTTACTTGCAAAAATTGGCGCGAAAATTTGTTGTTGTGCTCAACTGGCAAACCACACCTCCATAGGAAAAACCCGACGGTAAACTTTGGCGCGCTTGCAGGGTATCCAAGTCCGTTACTCCTACTTTTCTCTCATATTTTCGCGCCTTTTTTGACCGCTCGCATGCATCGCTACTTGAACCAAGTCTGCATTATGGTATGCTGTTGCCGTCGTCCCTGATGTTGTCATTGTTGTTGTTGTTGTTGTTGTTGTTGTTGTTGATGTTGTTGCTGTTGTTGTTGTTGTAATTGTCATTGTTGCTGTTGCTGTTGCTGTTGCTGTTGTTGTTGTTGTTGTTGCTATTGTTATTGCTGTTATTGCTATTGCTATTGTTATTGTTGCTGTTGTTGTTATTGTTGCTATTGTCATTGTCACTGTTATTGTTGTCGTCGTCGTCGTTGTTGTTGCTGTTGTTATTGCTACTACTGTTAAGGGGCTTCGGTGGCGAAGTGGTTAGCGCACTTGCCTTTCACCTCTAAGGTCGCAGGTTCGAATGTCAATGAGGACTTCTCATCGCGACTCGAACCCAGTCTTAATGTGAAAAGAGTAAGTCAACGCTCTGCCGAAAGTCGTGGGTTTTCTCCGGGTACTCCGTGTTTCCTCCCACAGGGAGTGTTGACAGGGTGGGTTAGGCACATAAGGTCTGGAGGCAGATCATTAATGAGGTATGGACTAAAAGCGGCTGCTCAAGCGCCATTTGTAAGCTCAAAGTCTACCTCGGTCTGCTTCATGTCAGTCCGGTTGATCTATCTAGTCATAATGTAAAAACTTCTGCAATTCAGCGTATGCTGCCATGGAAGTTCAAATAAAACTATGTAACTAACTATCTACTGTTGTTGTTGTCGATGCTGTTGTTGCTGCTGTTATTGTTGTTGCTGTTGTCGTGTTCTTGTTGATGATGTCGTTGTCGTCGTTGTTGCCGTTGCTGTGGTTGTTGCTGTGGTTGCTGCTGTTGTTGTTGTTGTCGTTGTTGTTCTGTTATTGTTGCTGCTGTCGTTGTCGTCGCCGTTGTTGTTTGAATCTCAGACACTTTAGATTTCTTATTCCGTTCTAATTTCTACAATTTCTCACCTATATTATGGGCTTCGTCAAACACGACAACAGACGACTTAGCCAACTCTTTAGATACCAAGTCGGCAATCTTAGGATCAAGTAAATAATGATAGCTGTAGACAATCACGTTGGCATAGTAAATCTAAACAATGAAAATAATTACTGTAGCAATTTACCCAGTTGCACTACAATTTGCATGTCTGACAAAACTCCATTGAAATCGGTCTTAACTGAAGACGCAAGATTTGCAAAGTTTTCTGCAAATTAGCTATTGAATTACATTGTAGATTAATTAGGTATTCAATCATTTCAATAACCAGGTTTGCTTAACCGCAGGAATCGGAACCTCGACCTTTGGTTTGCTAGTTCAATTCTCTACCAACTGAGATACTGTACAAGGTAAAGTCGGTTCGAGTGCGTAATGTTTCGGAAATCCCAGTCTAGTTCCTTTGGTATCGTGTGACGTCAATGACTCAATTACATATATAATGAGACATCAGAAATTGTTGTGTATCTTTGCTGTTTTTGATGGATTTGTTTAAAAAGAAACGCGCCGCATCTTTGAGAAGATTTGATTAAAAATAGCAAAGATACAACAATTACTGATATCTCATTATACATGCAATTGAGTCATTGACGTCACATGGTTACAAACAAGATAAAATATCTCAAGAACTAAGCATGGGAACAAAAATCTTCAAAACAAGTTACTATACAGTTTTAAAAGCATCACACTAAAGGCTGCATTCCAGTTACGCGTTTTTCATACGTGCGTACACACGTAAAAGTTGAATTCGCTTTACATCCTACTTATGAAATATCTAAATTTATAAAAGGACAGCATTCAGTTTTGTGTATGATTTAATGTGTATTTGTTAAGGTTATTTGCACTTATATGAAATTTTAAGCGAATTCAACTTTTACGTGCGTGTACGCACGTATGATAAACGCGTAACTGGAATGCAGCCTTAACACTTCCGCACGCACGCTGCTTTCGTCCTGTTTATGACGCAAACACGATTGTATATATAGACCTAAACTAGCTATTGTAAATTGTTCTGATGAATTTTCATTAAATTCGAGTGTCCTCTTGCTCTACTTAAATATTAAGTTTCCAGATGGAACTTGAATTCAGGTTTGTTCCCTATTTTATTTCATGAAGTTTTCAGCTGGCAACGGTATATGTAAGTTGAGCATAAAAAGCAATTCCATTGTCTATCCCAACATCACTTACTCCATATCTTGCCAGAAAGTACGGACACCATCCTTTCTCTCGCCCAACATCCTGAAGATCAGGCTAAGGAAAAAACAAACATTTTGTGAAACAAACTGCTCACGAATTCCCAACAGGAAACTCGAACTGATGTTACTTACAAGGTTATAAACTCCGGGAGCTAACTGTTGTTCTCGTCCACAGTTTTCAAACTCCTGAAACGAAAGTTAAACACTCAGTGAAATGCATAAAATTTACACTCGGAATTTCAGTCAGCAAAACCATCAACAGTCAGTAAAATATCTCGAGAATTTCGTATCTAGAAAATTTCAGTTTTTCCCAGTATCTTTTTGCAAAAATGTCTCTTTTCTACGACATTCTCTTTTCTGTTTTCAAACTTTTTGTGGTTTGACAATTTTCCTGTTCTGTTGCAGATTTTATCAAATATCAAGCAGTCAAACTCTGAGTTATGTTTCCTATTGCCAAAATTGACTTGCTCAGGCCCAATTGCTCAAGACGGTTCCTCCGGTAAACCGTCCCTCCCCCGTCGCAACTCACAACTCTTTAATACAGCCACACTTTGATTATTGTAGCATTGTTTGGGATAACTTAGGCAAAGGTCTTGGAGAAAAGCTACAGCGTTTACAGAAGAGGGCTGCGAGAATTATTACTGATTACAACATTGGTTCCTAGTTACTTGTCAAGAAAATACACTTCAACTTCTATGAAACACGAATACAATTTGCAAGGCTCTAATCATAATTTTTTTGTTCCATTAAGATCCTTAACTGAATCCTTAAAGAAAAGCTTTACTTATGGAGGGGCTACCCTATGGAACGACATACCCGTCGAACTCTTGCTGAGTTTAAATAAAATAATTCTTAATAATTGTAGGTTATTGCTGTATTAATATTTGTTAGGCGTTTTTGGCTAATTCTCGACACATGCAAAACTGTTTACTCAAGTTACACTTTTAAAAACGCACTTAATTGATTATCTAAGTATACAGGGTGTATAAAAAAACTAAACTGATTTGAAATTGCTCTCAATCTCGCAAAACAGCTATTAGTATCCAGTTTTTTTATGTATATAGTTTCTTTGGGTACCAATTATAATGTACTGTAGAATAATGAAAAAAATTCTCGAACTCAAATTTTGTGAACCAGGAGTGTGTGTCTTTTCCAACTGACTAAAAATGGCCCACGAGCGAAATTTAAAAGCTTTAATCATATTTTGAGTTAATAGATGAAAAATTTGTTGAGTTTTTAATTACTGTACAAAATGTCAGACAATTTGCTTTGTTTAAACCCTTTAACTATTCGGGCAAACTTACATTTTTTCCTAAAAATCAGCTATTTGCATGCTTAATTAATGCCTTTGCTTAATTTCCATACGTCAGCAATATGCAAATTAAGTAAATGCATTAACTATGCATGCGAAAGGCTGATTTTTAGGAAAAAATGAACATTTAAGCCCTTTGGCTCAAACTAAAGCAAATTGTCTGAAATTTTGTACAGTAATTAAAAACCCAACACGTTTTCCGCCTATTAACTCTAAATACGATTAAAGCTTTTAAATTTCGTGCGCAAGCCATTTTTAATTTTGTTGAAAAAGACACGCATCCCTGGTTCACAAAATTTGAGTTCGAGAATTTTTTTCATTATTGTACATTAAAAGTACCCAAGGAAGCTATATACATCAAAACTGGAAACTATTAGCTGTTTTGCAAACTTGAGAGCAACTTCATATCTGTTCAGTTTTTTTTATACACCCTGTAGTATGTCAACAATTGTACTTGAAACAGAATTTTAATTTAGTCTGCTTCAAGCTGTCTGTCTCAAACTGCAGAAATTAGCGACAATATGGCCACTGCTTGTAAACTAATTTGCATATGATCAATACACAACATAGATTCAGTGGGGTAGCGAGCGAAAGAGCGGTGTGGGGAGGGGAGACAATGTATGACGACATCAAGACATTGGAGGACGAGTGCTGTGAACGCCGAAGGCGAGAACATGCCAGGGAGGCATGCCCCGGAAATGCCAGGGGGCATACCGCCTTTCATAGCCCCGGAAATGCAAATTTACTAACCAACTGAATAAAAATTATCCGTAAGTATTACTTGGAAAAACAGTAAGCACGTAGCATTAAAATATTTTCTTCGCTTTATAAACAATTATCTTAATTGTCATAGTTGTGACAAATTTTCCGTATGAGTTGGACGTTATATTGGACACATGCGCCTCATCAACATTTATCAACGGATTTAAGCGTCTGTCTGAGGTGGTCTTAAAAGAGAGCGGGGGGGGGGGGGGTCCCCC